AATATATTATTAGGTCAAAGAATTTCACCTAACTATTCGATTCAAGTATCACTATTATTTATAAACTGAATTTGTAACTAATATATACGGTAATATATAGAGAGAGAGAAAGTGGTAAATTACTTCTACTAAAAAAAATTGTTAAAATGAACATAAATGAGAGATCCTCTTGAATACTATCATTATTAATATTATAATTATTATTTTTGATAAAGCGTACACGCATGAGCTTTGACAGCTTTGATTATTAGTCTCAAGTAAATTTAAGCAAAAACACGTGGTTTATATGTGAAAACATATAGGTGGTATGTGCAAAAACACGTTGTTGTTGTTGTTGATTCCGTATCTCTTTTAGGGCAACATATCTCTTGTAGTCCATATTGTGGCACCACACCACTTGCTTTGAGGTGGGTTTTGGGACCCCCAACTTCAACCCACAGTGCTCAGCTACCACTTCTTCATCGTCACACACAAACAGAATAAAAGACACACACATATAAACCAAACAGACTTATCCACAAACAGCCAAACACCGCCTATAGGCCTTATAAATGCATTCAATGATCCCATTACTCACATTTATGCACCCACCCTAACCACCACATAGCTTCTCTCCATATATGGACCTCCTCGTACAGTCGTACGTTACCAAACAAAAAACTTGGGAGTGTAATATATTTCTTAATTCAAAAAAACTATTTGATCTTATATATATCTTCATTCTTTAACCACGCAGATGGTTCTGTTTCCTAACATCACGTTTGGACAACGATCAGTACGTGTATCGCATGAAACCCATCATTCCTTCCACGTGTCAAAAACCCACAACTATTATCTGATTCTCTCACCATGTAAACATATATTTTGGTGTGTATATAGTATACTACTAGGTCTAACACACAATAATGAAGTTTGAAAATATATATTTATTATGGTTCTTAGTGATGGTATTGGTTACCGTAACAATTAAGATCGCAGTATAATAGAATCATATGAAAATTAATCCAATCGATTAATTCATAAAAGTGTGTAGCATGTTAAACATGAAAAAAGTTACCAACCAATAGAGAACCAAAAATATTATACAAGAATGAGGATTATCATATTGTTCACAGGGAGAGAAATTGGAAGAGAGTCCCAGGCCCCCCATCCTTGCCTAATGTTGATGATGAGGATTTGATTTGACGGTGCTCTCTCTCTCACTCTCCCCGTCTCCTCGTAAGCTGCAATATTTTGTCATCTAGCTGCAAATGAATTTCACGTGAGATATGCGGCATCATTCAAGAGTCGGTTATATACCCGATTTAATTTAGAGTTTGGAGGAAATTTAATTTAGAGTTTAAACTATTTTTTTTTTTAATTTTAATTTTAAAGTGTCAATTCGCTTCTATCAAATGCAAGTCAGTGCTGCTTAGTACTACCGAATCATTACCTTAACCAATCTCGGATAAAATAATAATTTATCTTAAAAATTACTAAATATCTATGTCTATTTTAGTTTTGGAGTGTTCAGTTTCGTATCAAAATTACACACATGCATAATATGCATTACTAAGTAAATTTTTTTTTTAGATAATACTGGAGTTCTTAAAATAGTTAACAAAATGAATTTTTATACAATTTTATGATTTTAAATTCTTAAAAAAAACCTTAATCAAACTACATACCCTAATAATCTTGGCTGTGGTGTCCACAAAAGGGATGGATCATATGAAATGATTGAAGATGCGCAAGTGTGTGTGTGAATGATCTCTAATTACCTGTATATTTTTGTGTAGTGGGAATGCCAGCCAGATTCTTTTCTTAAGAGATGCTACCTTCTTATATGTCTGTAGCACATGTTACTATCCTACCCTACCTTCACTTTTTCTTCAGTTTTTCTTTTGACTCATAATTTGACTGGTCAACTAACTTGATTACTGATCCCCATCATATAAGCACCATGGTCCCACCATTTTTGTATGTGTTGTCCACCACAATACACCTAAAGTGCTGTTTGGCTGGTTATTTTTCTATCATCTTATTTAAGTATTCGGAACCTAGAAGAGACAAAGCCATTTTCATAGGATCCAAATATAATCTGAGTGGGATGATCAATCATTGTCCATCTGTTTATATATACAAGTGCTTCTGACAGATCATGTCGGAGTTAGAATATTGGTGGGTGGCATTCATTTAATCTCCCACTAGCTACTCCAAGAATCTTGGCCATAATTGGTAAAAATAGAACAAAAAAAGAAAAAAGAAAAGTGGGGGAGTATTAGCCTTGCAATCTTTGTTTGATTGGCTGATCATTGGATAATGTGATATCTTAACAGATAAGAAATCCACACTGTTATGACATCAATCATCACCTCTAATTTTGCAATTTCTTAATTAATTAAAAAATTTATGAAATAAATACTCTGTCTTAAAATAAATGTTCTCTTTAAAAATCGTGAATGCAAGAATAGTTTCAAATGGGATCTTTTTGCCATTCTTGTATCATCAAATACTCAGCAAAGAACTCCAACCAAGTTGAACGATGAGGAGAAGGGCTCCATCTAGCTTTGCTTTGTCAATTCTTGATTTTTACCACCAAAAAATCGAAAGAGGTTTATCAATAAAACTACCGCTCCGTTAGGCCAGATAGCGCCGCCTAACATTGACTCAATCTTGAACTTCGCTTCGGTAGTGACTTTTTTTTTTTTTGGCTCTTTACTGGAATAACTTAGGAGAACAGTTTCCAAAGTTTATTTTGGCACGGAGAGTATTTTTTTTATCCAACATTACTTTTTCTAAATTAGCTCTTCCATTTATTTTATTTTTTATTTAATTTTTTTTTATATCCTCTGTGCAAAACATGGTGCGGTGAATGAGTGATTCTTAATATAAAATAGATATTTACTTTGAAAACTGTAAACGCAAGAATGGTTTCAAATTGAATCTTTCTACTATTCTTGTATCATCAAATACTCGGCGAAGAACTCCAACAAAGTTGAATGTTGAGGAGAAAGGCTTCCACCTAGCTTTGCTTTGTCAATACTCGATTTTTACCACCAAAAAATCGAAAGAGGTTTATCGGCGAAACTACGGCTCCGTCAAATAGCGACTCAGTCTCGAATTTCGCTTCGGTAGTGACCATCTTTTTTGCCTCTAATGGAATAAATTAGTAGAACAGTTCTCAAAATGAACATCTATTTTAGAACGAAATAAGTAATTTTTTTTTTTTTTTTTTATCGGACATTTCTTTTTCGAAATTAGCTCTTCCATTTCTTTTATTTTTTTATTTTAAAAAATTTCTATCTTCTGTACCAAACATGGTGAGATGAATGAGAATGACCCTTGATAAAAATTACAATGGAGTAAGGTGTCTAAGGTTGTTTGAGTGTTATGGTTTTAGAATTTCTACATATAGATCTTCAGTTTAAGTCACCATTTAAGTGATTTACACTCGTATTTAAATAATATACACTTACAAGATGGATCAAACGAACCAGGATGGAATAAGAAGTGACAAATTCTTAACCGCGAAGATGCCCAAAAGTTTGATTAATCCATTCTTGACAGTGGATTAATTTGAAGTTGAGCGAACTAATGGGTAACAAATTTGCTATAAAATTTAATAAAAGTCGGTCAAGTAGAATTAATACTCATAATCAACTTTTAAAGTCTAGTGATTAAAGCATTATTATCCTATTTTTATTAACAAACCTGTATGTTGTGTTGAATTGCAAATGAGTTTAATTAGTTTTATTTGTTAATGACTTTAATTCTGTTCCTCATTATGCAATACGTTGTCTTTAACTGGTCAATCTTTCATAAAACATAGCATTTACTTCCTGATATTTGAGAATTGAAAAGCACAATTAGGTTGCAATGCGGCCAAAGGAATTGTACTTGGCTAAGTACACAGTACACACACAAAAATATAAAAAAATTGCATTGTAGCTTAAAAAGGGAAGTGCATGCATTCAACTGTGTCACCAGTTCATTTATCATCACATCAGCAGAACCTTCTCCTTTCCACAACTGGAAATCACTTGTTGTGGGGCCCACAATCACCCAATATTTGTCTCTCTCTGGGTCTAATTATGACCATAAATATGGAGAACTAATTACCTAGATCAATTAACCTCAGATTCAACCTCACAGAAGGAAAAAATAAATAAATAACTGTAACATTGACTCCATTTCCTGCATTTTCCTTTTGTTTGGTAAAGTCGAGCGTTAATTCAGATGTTATGATATCTCTTTCAATATAAATTTACGAGTTTGGTTTTTTTTTGTGACACAAGATGTTTTGTGCCAAAACAAATTTTATATCAATTATCCAATAATTCTACATCACTTATACAACAATTTCAAATCGTTTAGGTATATTACATACCGTGTTGAGTAACTAATGCATTGAGTTGCGTAAACGATATATTGTGTTGAATAAGTGGCATAAAATGTCTTATTTTATCAACGGGTCAATGGTTCTAGCGGTATAAGCTTCTTACTTTACAAATGAAAGTAAAAAAAAAAGTGTCTTATTTCATAAGAGGTGGTAATTTGAGAGCATCGTGACTTGTGAGTGGATGTATGTTTTTTAACTTTAAAAAAAAAATATTACTAAAACAATACCTGCTGCATGCACAGTAATTAGAAAGAAATGTTATCTCTTATATTTAAAATTCAATCATCTTCCCTTTTCTTTTCTTTTTTCCTTTTTTTTTTTTCCCTTGTTTTTTTTTTTTTTTTTCCCAATCATCTTCCCTTATAAATATCAAATATGGAGTATTTTCTTTGTACAAAAAGAGCATTAATATGTCCCAAATTTTGAATGCTTATCATGTTTGAGTCGACTTCTTGAGTTCTTGGCGATGAAGATGAAGAATTTGGTGGGGGGAATTCGAGTACGTAGGGGGACCAACGGTGGGCTCCACGTATTAGTTGCCTTCCACAATTGGGACCCACACGAACTGGCAGATAAATCCGTTGCAGATGATCCGATCCAGCTCTCTTTCTCACTCAGTGTGATTACTTTCTCTGCGTGCAAGCCCTAATTCATCCCTAGGACACCCAAGTAATCATTACATCCCATCTCTCTCTCTCTCTCTCTCTCTCTACATATAATATATGTATATATATATACACACACATACTATGTGTGTGTGGTAGATTAGCTGGTTTATTTATATGAAGAGAGGTGGCCTTATTTGCTTCACTTTGCATGAATTCCTAAACCCTCAATCCATACCCTCTCTCTCTCTCTCTATATATATATATATAAATATATATATATATATATTAAGCTGCACTTCTTTATCTCTATAGTTTATATCTATCCCAAGTAGCCTCTCTTTCAAGCTGATCAGGAGGAATCACAATTAATTGTGCATGGATGGATCCTTCAAATGCTCTACACCACCAGGTAGGATATATGTGGATCAACAGATTCAACACAATACATACTGAACTTCTTTCACTCAATTTATTATTCCTGTGTTCTCTTATTTCAACTCTAGCTCTTGGTGTAAACCCAAAAAATATATATGTTCAAATATCTATGGCATGAAGTTTTTGTAAATTTGGAGTTAGAAAAAGAGGTAAAAGGAAAGGACACAATTAGAAATAAAAATGAATTTTGAGTTTTGTTTTTTCCAATTATATTTTTGGGTTGCGTTTTAATTAGTATTGTTCTTGGGTTAATTTATGTTCTCTGCATGTTTTGCTTTTGATAATTTCAAAACCAATAAATCAAATTCCAATCCCAAATCTTGTGAATTTTGAAAATTAAAAAATAAAATGTGTCTCACTTGTTCAGTATGAACCACTTTAATTTGTTGCCAATGAAAATGGAGGAAAAAAGAACATGAAAAGTAAAATCTTTTATCAACGATTCAGATCCCAAATCTTCATTTCTTTTATTTTCCTCCTTTTTTTCAGTTATCAAACTACCATTAATATATTCTCTTCCCTATACTATTTTTATTAGGACCAGAAAGTTTAATGACATATATAGCAAGTGGAGTTCAAAAACAACCATCCTTTGTAGAAACTGCAGAGAAGAAAGCATTTCATTGCTGTTAAGATTTTGTTTTTTATTTTACATATCACCTTTTTGGCTTATCAATTCAAGGAATTGCTTTATGCCTTCTAACCAATTTTACTTTTCAATCTTTTGTTCAGAACCCTATTGAAATTAGCACTTCATTTTGTGTATAATGTGCCTCTTAATTGCATGTACTAGTAATATTAGTTAGAAAAAGTTTCCATGCACCTTTAGACATTAATTTTCTACTATATATATACATATATACATTTATACATTTATATATATATAGTTTTTGCTGCTGACATTCATGTCCTTTTAGTGACTTATTTCTTTCTTCTATTTTGTTGATTGCTAAAGGAAATGGCTTCACAAACCCTGGAAATGTTAGTTTGCACAAAAACACAGCAAGAGAAGAAACCAAGGCCTCAACCAGACCAAGCTCTGAAGTGCCCTAGATGCGACTCCAGCAACACCAAGTTTTGTTACTACAACAACTACAGCCTCTCTCAGCCAAGGTACTTCTGCAAGTCATGTAGGAGGTATTGGACCAAAGGGGGCACACTGAGAAATGTTCCTGTAGGTGGAGGCTGCAGGAAGAACAAGAGATCATCAACTTCATCATCGTCATCAAGAATTCGGAGCCAAGATCAACCGCTGATCACATCCAATATTCCCACACCGCTCTCCACTTTCCCAACCCTAACCAATGGGCAGCTAGGGTTTGATGACCATAATAAGCTTCCGACGTTGAGTAATTTCAAGAACACCCAATGTGGCATTCTTGGAAACCCTAGCGTCAACACGTCGTATACAGCTCATAGCTTTCTTGATTCACTTAGGGGTGGCTTTCTTGAAACTACCCAAAATGGGCTTCACCATAATTTGTTTTACGGAAACGTGGGCAGTGTGGAAAATGGTGGTGTGGGTGTCAATGTTGGTGAAAAAATGTCAATTAGGGCATATGAAGATACAAGTAGAGATGTGACAGTCGCAACAATGAAACAAGAGTACTATAATTCCAGAGAAGGTGAGAATAGGGTCTTGTGGGGGCTTCCATGGCAGATTGGTGGAGATGGTAACACGGGTGACCTTGATTTGGGAAGAGCAAGCTGGAATGGACTCGGTTCATCTTGGCATGGACTTCTCAATAGCCCTCTCGTGTAGATTTTGGAATAAAAGAGTTAGTGCAGTGCACGAGACTCTCGTCATTGTAATATGTATGCAGTCTTATATCCACATGCTGATAGACTACTTTGTGTTTAGGGTGTTTATGTTTGGAAGAAAAGAAACTGATAGAATAGATCTCTTTGTCAGACTCAATTTAATCCTTTTAAGTTTTGTATCAATTCAGAGACGCACTTGATTTGCGTCAATCATCTCGATTTTCTTTTTTCTTCTTGTCTTTCTTTTGTGTTATTTTATTGATTGGCAGACTAATTAATGAAATTTCATATTTCTTTTCTAACCAAGCAAGCAAAGAAATGGTGTGACTGTGCTTGATGGAATATGTTTTGCCATTTTAGAGAAAATAACTGAGAGATTGAGAGTGATGTTCAAACTCTCTGAAATTCAAGTACTGTCTGAAGTAGTGAAATTTGGACTTTTGAATTTTGTGAACACATTCTTTCATGATTAATTGTTTATTGGTTTCAGGTAGATTTATCTATAATAATATAATAACAGAATATTATGGTGAAGTAATGAAATGATTATGGGGTGGGTGGGAATTCTCCTTTTCCTAAGCATTTGAATTTCAGTGAAGCATTAGCACCAATTTCGGGATAGATTTTCCTCTCTTAACAGACCAAATCCAGCATAAGATTTTGATTAGTATTTTAATGATTTCATTGCCAGTTAATTACGGTCATATTTTTGACAAATTGTTCCTGTGTTATACTCAAATGACAATTTTATCCTTCAATTATATATTTAAGGTAAAAGAGCAAAAAATACCCCTAAACTATACCATTGTTGCATAATGTCCCCCTGGACTATTTTTTGGAACAACTCAGCCCTTCAACTATAGAAACGTTGCATATTGCCCCCTTGACAACATTTTTTGGCCATCGGAGGTCAATTTTCGACCGACAGAGGGACACAATTACTAATTTACCCCTTACTTGTTAATTTATTATAAAAAAATATATAATATTATAGGTGTACAAATATTTGACCGCCATTGAAGCTTTTGGGTAACAAATGTTTTGTCATCAATGAGTGCCGCAACAGGAAGACAATTAAAACAGTCAGTAAAGGCTTTCCATAATTTAACATTAAACTAGCGCTTACATTCATCATAAAATCCATAAATGCGATTAATAGAAGCACATTCATGGTTCCCTCTTAAAAGAAAAAAGTTCTTTGGATATTTAATTTTATAGGCAAGCAAGAGACATATTGTTTCCAAACTCTGCTTGCCACGATCTACATAATCGCCTAGAAATAGATAATTAGCTTGAGGAGGAAAACTCCCATATCAAAAAGTCTTAATAGATCACTGTATTGCCCATGAATGTCACCATAAATGCGATTAATAGAAGCAAATGGTTTTCGGCTTAAGAGGATCTGCAAGGAGGAAGATGATGAAGAAAAACATAAAAATCTGAGGGCATCATTGGAATTTTACACCCATAATATTTTATATTTTTTATAATAAATTAATAAGTAAGGGGTAAATTAATAATTGTATTCCTTGGAAATTAGCCTTGGTGACCGGAAAGTGTTGTCAATGGGGCAATATGCAACCTTTCTATAATTAAAGGGATGAGTTGCTTTAAAAAATAGTTCAGAAGGACATTATGTAACAATAGTAGAGTTTAGGGGAATTTTTTTGTCCTTTTACATATATTTAATTATTTATTTTTACTTTGGCAAGCAACTCCCCCGTAATTATCAAATTGAAAAAATTAAAATGGGGAAACATTCTGTTTGGACTAGAGATTTTCCATTTTTCCAATATATGATGTCCAACCAACAAGGTATCATCATTTTCTGAGCCGAAGTTGGACTGCTTAGGTCTTTCTCTTCCGATTGAAAACATTTCTCTTTCCCATTTTACATTTCTGTAGATAATTTTAATAAATAGTGTTCAACAAAGACTCTTTATGTGTAATTGATAAGTTAGATTCTCCCTTCTCTTAAAGTGTAAATAATTCTAATAGATAGTGTTCAATGAAATTTTTTTGTGTGTAATTAATAAGATAGATTCTCCCTTTCTCCCATCTCTTAAAGTGGTCTATCTATGAACGATTTAAAGTGATCTATCTTTGAACGATTGATACCTCAGTCCGCTATAAAAACGGACACATATATCATTTTTCGTTTATGTTATAATCTATTCAAGTGTCAATTTGTTTCCAGTGACGAATTTTTTATATTATAATCTATTCAAGGGTCAATTTGTTGTTCGTAGTGGACAAATTTTCTATGTTATAATATATTTAAGTGTCAATTTGTTGTTCCTAGTAACAAATTTTCTAATTTTCTATGTTATAGTCTATTCAAGTGTCAATTGGTTGTTCCTAGTGACAAATTTTCTATGTTATAGTCTATTCAAGTGTCAATTTGTTCCTAGTAGTGGACAAATTTTCTATGCTCGACAATGAAATGCTGTCATTGTATGACGCCGCATTCAAAGCGGCCACTTGGGATGGTGACGGTTGCGCGATCACTTGAGTGCAACCGATCACTTGAGTGTGCAAAAAGTCCCCATACTTCAATGGTGCCTTTGAATAAGTTGAAGGGAAAGAATAGAAAATGATGGATTAATTAAGATATAAAAGAAAAGACAACAAAAATGATGACATTTTGGCCAACTAAATAGAAAAACAAATAGTGATAACCACTCGATCTTGCCCCCCCAAACCTTAATTATTCTAATTGAATACTTTAAAGTCCTGAATAACGAGAAAACTTTTTTGTGCCTGTTGCACCATATAATGGGCACATCCAACCGTGTATTACACAGACGGTCTAGATGCGCCCATTGTATTGTGCAACAGGTACAAGAAATTTTGTGCAACGGGTGCAAGGAAATTTTTTTTTCCCGAATCAATAGCTGAACATTTTGGGTCATGGCCACACCCTAATATGGATTATTTTGTTCAAAACTCACTTAGAGACCATGCACTTTAGTATATAAGTGTACCGAAAGAAAAAAAGCTTGACCAGTATGCTTATAGTTCTCAAAGACCTGCAAAGAAGGTATATAGATCAATCCAACATTTGCCCTAAACCTCTAAATATGCATAGAGTGACTAATAAGTATGAATTTCACTTGTATTGCAAGTGAACTACTATACAGGTCGGACCGCCTGTCCACTCGAATATGAATTTTATATACAGTCCATGGAAGCAACCTCTCGAGCAACTACAAGATCAAAGCTACTGTACCAGGAAGTATTTCGAAATCAGATTTCTTGTTGACAGATTGTGGAGATAACAAATCCCACGTAAAAAAAAAAAATAAAGAGAAGGTTTTCCGGAGACAATAATTTGCAGACTTGGGCAATGCTATTTTCTTAGTTAAAGATATGTAACTTCCAAGGTAGTATTGTAACATGCGGTAAGCATGGGACATAACATAATGCATATCTGAAGTTTCAGGAGCATAAACATATACTCAAACATAATGAATAGAACAAGAGTATCTAAGAAACAAGATAATGTCACTATCTCATTAAGTTCGATAAGTGAAGAAGGTAAATACTGGATCAAAGAGCAGCAAGACAAAGCATGAGTAGTAGTTCCGGAGAGGGGAAAAAGAAGTGTCTCATCTAAGGACATATCTGCACAAAATCCTCTCTTCACTGGTGTTCAGGACCTTGGCTTCTCCTTTTTCTCTTTGAACAGAGCCAAAAGAGACACCCCTGACACCTTCACAACCTTGAATCTGACTCCAGGAATATCTCCGACTGCATGCCCCTTACGGCCAAATCCTGCAATCAGCACCTCGTCCTACATGGCAATAACAGATAAGTTTTTATAAGGCCAAAAACCATCAGAAAGGAATAAATTGTTTAAAAAAAGGAAACCTAGGCCTGGTAGACAATGCTCACATTCTCCTCGATATAGTTCAAGCAACCATCATTTGGCACGAATGCAGCGATTTTCTTTCCATTCTTAATCAACTGAACTCGAGCACATTTTCTAATTGCAGAGTTTGGCTGCTTAGCCTCAATCCCGCTGTAGGATGCAACCAGTCAACTGTTAGTAAGGTGTCATGTGGAAATATTCTACAGTTAAACAATGATTGGAAGATAAAAGGAATAAAAATTCCATCTTACATTTTTTCAAGAACAATGCCTTTTGCATGGGAGGACCCGGCAAATGGTTTCTTCCATTCATTGCCAAGATGGGACTTTTTATATGCCTTATCAGCCCACCTTTGCCTTCTACGGTGGGACTTCAGCTTGCGACCGGCTCCCATTCCACGTGTTTTCCTGTAAGACATTCGCTAGCAGATTATAAATACGTTCACTTACAAAACATAGATATACCTTTTTAAGGGGGAAAAAGAAGCACCATTAATGATTCATAACCACGTTGATATAAAGTTATAAGCAACTCTAAGGGCATGTTCACTACCAGGAGTTAATCCCTGTTTTTACTGTCAATTCCTAAAATTGAGAATCAAAAGTGTAAATCATGTTTACTAATATAATTTTACTTTTCAAAATTCAGAAAGTAATTCCTAATTTTATTAAGGAAACGAAAAGCGGAAAAACCTTGCTTTCTATACTTTCGCCAATGTAGCGGCAAATTACTTTCGACACTGTAGCGGGCAATGTGCACTTAAAAGCCTCTTCCCTCTTTCTGGTTCTGATGTTCGTCAAACACCATATTCCACCCCAATATCAGATCAAACTCTCTCCCCACTCGAGCACCTCCACAGCCCCGCCGTGCTGTGCCAGGAAGCCGCCGTTCATGTCCGCGTTGAACCGGAGGTTCAGAAGCACATGAGGGAGGTCTGTTACAATGACTTCGGCTGCGATACGAGTCCCGTGCCGGAGCCAAGCTCAAGGATGTCGAGGCAGCAGCCTTGTCCGTGAAAGGAGGAGAGGGTGCCGGAGCTGTGTTGTGTTGGATTTGTTGTGTTGGTTTTCTTATCTATGTTCTTGGCCATTTTTTTCCAAAAGAGAAGGAACAACTTTCTTCTCAAAATAATTCTGATTATTTAAAGGTTTTGTTGCTGGTTGATTACAGTTGATTTCATAAATCATACATTTGCAATATGCACACTCCAATTCCTGTGTGAGTCTGTCAATCTGGGTTGAAGTTTTTTAAGAATTTGGTAAGATGATGTAGCATGTTTATCTGAGGATGTGAGCTTGGTGTATACGAACCTGAACTGTGCTTAGAATTTAGAAACCAAAATTAAAATCATAATTATTGGACTTACTTTCTAATTTCTTGCTTTCAAAATATTGAAAGCATAAAAGAGTATTAAACATGATTCTACTAAGTATTTCAGCTTCAGAAATGAGAATTATAATTTTACTTTTGGAGAAAGTAAAAATAAGAAAGTGAAAGCGTTAGTGAACAGGCCCTAAGAAAAAACATCTATGCTCTACAGTGATTATTGAATTGACCACCAAGAATAATGTAAAAACTTGAATCATAAACATTACATTGAATACAAATTTAGAATTGCAAAAGACCCAAGCAACTGATGGAACTTCTAAGTTTCTCATTATAATAACATTATTTTACTAAAAAATTAATAAATCTACAAGCTCATTAATATGGACATCTACTTGAAAATTCTAGGTACAAAAGCATATTGTGCAATACTTGGCAGTACTAAATCTGTTGAAAAAGCACATGAAATGGCCATGAAAAGGGAACAGCAGATAAAATACATATTCTAATTTTCTACATTTTTCACATTTCGGATCATTAACCTCATTGTGTGCTCAGAGTAACTCAATCTACAAAGCATTAGATAACAACTACATGGATTCAGGTGAAGAAACCAAGTCTAACACATAAATGCTTAATTACAAATCAAAAACCAGTCACGTTGTACATGACAACAACTTGAAACTTACGTTGTTATTTTCTCTATAAAACTCGTCAACATGCATAAAGAAATCCAAATATATGATTATAACATGAACTATGCATTGGTCTCGACTCTCGTACAGTGAATGAAAACGAAGATCTCTGTGTTTCTTTTTCAATTTCATTTTTTCGCCATACCATATGCACACCCATCACCAAACTAGGAATTGAACCCCGCAACCTCTTTTTGCATTATTAATGAAATGACATTTTTCCTTAGCCATATGGGCATAGAAATATAACCCTGTTCTGTACAGATGTAAAATATATATAGCTCTGAAGAGACGATAACAACCTTTTGTCTCTTATATCTGTGTATTCATCATAACACATTTTTTTATAAGACAATAAGAAACTCTAGAATTGGTATAGATTAACCCAAAAAATCCATTAATTGTGTTCACGTCTGGAATGGACAACAGAACAACAATTGAGGCATTTTTGGAAAATTTTGTTATGAATCCTCCTGTACTTTAGTCTAAGCTTTCCTTTTTGTAGTTTGAAATTTTGTTATGAACTTAAATTTTTCTTGCTAATACAGAGTACATAACATACTACTTTTGATCAAATTCAAATCATTTTGTTACACTGTTTTGGGTACTCAATCAAACCAGATAAAATATCATTTTTTTTCCCAATCTTTATATATGTAAACACAAAAAGTTTGATGAAATGCCTCACTGAAGACGAAGCTGTGTGATTACAGAAGATGTTTAATGAAACAAAGAATTTGATTCACTCTAATATCATTCAATTTGGAAGAACCAAGTCTAAAAAGCTAATAAAACAAAAAATTATACATATATATAGCTCATTCTATATTTAAATTTTAATCCAAACACATCCCTATTCTCAGATAACAAACGTTTCTCCAATTCTCAGGCAGTTTCTTCAGAAATCATTTTGAAAACGTACTTTTTTCTAAATAAATATCCACACACACATTCACAAGAATGTACGAGACCTAAATTTCTCCAAGCCATATAAGGAGCACTAAATGTAATTTCTACGGAAAAAAAAAAAATTCCGGGAACTATTTGAATTTCTATGAAACGAAACATAACCTCTGAAAAATAATGCAAAAGAAGTGAAATGCGAGGATAATGGGAAGTTCTTACCCCATGGTGACCGCGAGAAGAGGCTCTTCAACAGAGACGAGAGAGAAGACGCAGCTTCGCTTTGCTTAGTCGCAACTAGGTGAAAACCCTAAAACGTTGACGAACTTTGTATGAAGGCCTATATTCTAAATAAAATTACGAAAAGACCTGAAGTTTTCAGCATATTGGAATTGTTTCCCAGCCCAACCCAAGCTTATCTAGAGATGGGCTGAAGGGAATGGGCTTTTACTCTTTAGGTTGGAGTTGGATACCATAATCCATTCCAAACCCGTTTGCCCCAGTCCCGGGTCAGAATGAGCAGCTTCGGATCACCCACTCTGTAAATTTCTTCTTCTTTTTTTAAAGGAAAAATAATCCCATCCAAACAAATTCAAATTTATATTCTATAAATTTGATTATGAATTGAATGTTATTTTATTTATTAGTCATAATACCTGGCCAATAATTTTGACTTTTTTTTTTTTTTTTTGTTGTTTATGTGAGTGTTGATCAAAATATCAATTTTACTCACATTTACGGCCTATGATTAGTCCGTATGTCAGAATTATATATTATTTTCTTTCATTTATGCTATTTATTTCTTTCAAATTATATATGTTCCTAACTACGTGACAAAGGACATGGATATTATTTGAAAAACTTCTACTTCTAAATAAACTCTCAACTGAAAATCTATACGCTATGTTCGGTTGTATGAAACTGGAACTTTAGAATTGAAATTTGTGTAATTAGAGAAAAAAAAATTTTAATTTCACCAATTTCAATTTCAAAACTTAAATTCTATGCTGTCATAGATAACATAGATAGGCTAAGTGAATTTCGAGTCAGTTTTAAGCATTTAATTGGCATATCAACTCACAATGTGACATTGACATTAAGGCTTCAAAGCAAGATGCAAAGATTGTATTGTTCACATACACATGGCAGATAATCATGCAAAACCATTAATTTAATCTACATGGAAACCTGTGCAAGGAAATGAGCATGATCTTATCCCCTGTGACAATTTCTGGGGAAGCAAACACAAGAAGTTTGGCAAAAACAATACCACGTATACATGTACACACTCATATTTCCAACACACAGAAGAAACTATATTTTGGCTTAAAAAAGAAGAAGAAGAAGAAACTATATTTGAGAAAAAATTGTACAGAAAAGCAATTGTAAAACAAGAAATGAGAAACACCCGAAATAGTAAAGAAAATAAAATTGATAATTATGTAAGAAGTTAACAAGGTAAGAGAACTCCTACCATAGACATGCAAAATTCAAGCTAATCACTAGAAGAAAATATTTAATCAGTAAGAATAAAGCATCCAACATTGAAACTGACTCATACCATAGACAATGTTCTCCAGATAAAAATTAAAAATAAAGCAAAGAGCATCCAACATTGAATTAAAGACTCCATGTATACCAGAAATATTTTCAAGCGTTTAGTATTATATCTATATCCTCCATGATAGAGTTGTCTCGAGTTCATAGTTCTCCACTCTATAACTTGAAAACAGTGAAAAGTTCAAAATTACCATTTTATAGATTAACAATGTCGTAGTACATTATAATGTTTATGGGTGAAGGAAGAAGGACTGGGCTTTTGTAATAACAAATTAACATATTGCTCATGAGAGCAGAAGTGCAACCAAAACACAAATTTCTTTTCGCTAAGAAAGCCCCAACTTTCGTCACACCACCAAGAGTACCTAAATTAGAAACCAACCACATAGTTGTAATTACAGAATTGAAACTAAATTTAAAAACAGTAGCAAAGAATATTCAACCTGTCTCGCAACTCTCATGGTGCTTCTATTTCTGCGGCTTTTTCCACAAAACCCCAATCTTCTTCAGCATGTTACCGTTTCTCTTCTTTGGCAAATCATCCTCCAAGTCTTCAGAATAAGGTGAGCTAATCTTCCCAGTTATGGGATCATAGTTACTGTCCAATGATCCTGTTCTTTCAATGAATTTCCCGTTATTTGCTGTTGAAAGCATAGCTGCAGCTGCCTCTGCAGCCTTCCTCCACTGGTCGGATTGCACCTTTACCCTTCTTAATTCTGCCTCAATTTCTGAATTTGCTGCCTGTGCTGCCTCCAACTGCTCAGCTGCCTGTGCTGCCCTTCTATTACTCTTATTTATTTCCTCTGTAGCGTGCCCGAGCTTCACGAGAGCCTCCTGTTCTGCAGCCCTTCTTGCCTCTACTTCAGCAACAACCTCCTCGTTCACTTTTTCCCCTTTCATTTCCCTTTTCTTGACTTCAAACTTCAGCATCTCATTTTCCTCAGATATATTCTGCAATTCTGTTTCCTTATCCATCAAATTCGCCTTCAGATCTTCAACATGTTCATTTAATTTTTTCAGTTCCTTTTCCAGTTCGTGTTCTCTCTGGCGTGATAAGCTCTTCTCCAGCTTCATATTTATTTCGTCATTCTCCTCCAAAATACCCTGTAATTGAGTTTCCTTGTCCATCAAGTTTGCCTTCATTTCCTCAATATCAGCTTTTGTTTTAGTTAGTTCAGCCTCCAGTTCAGCTTCTTTGAGACTTGACAAGGACTTAACCTGCTCCACCAATTCATTTGCACTCCCAATCTGCACTATGCTTTGAATTTGTTCTTCATGAAATCTTCTCTCAGCAGTCTCTAGTGCAGTTTTTAGCTGACATACCTCAGCCTTCAAAGCGCTAAGTTCTTCCTCGAGCTGGATTGATTTCTCAGTCTTTTCATTTTCTGCAGTTTCCCAGTCAAGTTGATGATCACTGGCCGAATTTTGAGAATATTTGCTGCCAGACTGAACAATATCCGCCTTAAGTTTGCTAACAAGTCCTTCCAGCGAGTTTACTTGTGCCCTTGATTGGTCGAGCTCTGAAGCTATGGCATTGTAAGCCTCCGGCCCTTTAATACCATCTGAGCTGAGGCTCTCTACAGTCTTTTTGGCTGTTTCTAGTTGCATCAAAGTTTCAGCAACAAGTGCTTGGGCTTGAGCTTCTGATTCTTTGCAATCCTTCAGCTGAATTTTCATGCTTTCCACTTGAGAAAGAGTTTCTGCCAGGTTTTCTTTCAAGCTCTGGAGCTCGGCATGCGCTGATTCTGGGTCCTTTGTCTGTCCGCTCTCAGATTCAGCTACCATGTCAAGCTGGATCCTCAGCTGCTGAATCTCATTCATGGCAGAGGCCAATGCAGCTGAGTCGACTGAGTGCTGCTTCTGGATGGCCTCGAGCTTTGACTGCCATGCTTGATCCTGGTCCTGAGATATCTTCTGGAGCTCAATGATATGGGCCTCCTCAGAAGTGGACAGCTCCAAGAGCTGCTTCTGGGACTCTTCGAGCTTCGAAGACATTGCTGATAGCTGCATTTTGGACTCCCCTGCATCCTGCTCGGCTTGCCTCTTCCATGACTCAGCTGAACTTAGATTGTCCTTCCCCGTCTTCAGATCCTCCTGAAGTTGAGAAATCTGAGATTCCAACTCAGAAATCCTGCTTGGGCGCTTCTTCTGGAGCTTGCAAGAAGAAAACTGAAGCTTTAGGAATTTATGCAATATTCACTGAAACCAACTTTTTAAGGCATATTAACAGCAAATAATACAAACAATTATATTTTCAAAAACAAAAGAGATTAAAATATGATACTAATTCAAAATACAAAACAAAAATAGAGAATGGTTTGGGGTCTAAAAGAAAAACTTTTTGGCAAGACAAAGAACTGCAGAACTAGATTCTACTGCGATAGCATGAATGAAATGCACAACTATAGTGATATTTACAGGATATGATGATGTAGTTACATCCACAAAGAAATAGAAGAGAAGAATTCTCCAACTTGGCTGACAGAAATACAATTGTTCTCCCATATATTACCTATAATGCACACGATAACGAACTGTTTCCCTAACACTAATCAATGCAACAAAGGAATAGCAATGAAGCAAATGCATGACATCTTTCACACTAGATACAGTAACAAATAATATGCATAGTGGTAAGGGATCGAACAAGCAGTGTTGCATAATGGCTTTCCAAAAAATTGAGCATTTTTCAAACAATTAAATTTCTACACTATTCATATACATAAATGGAAAAACCACTCATTTAGGACCATTACTTTGGTGCAATGGTAAATGCTCGGGGTGACCAGCCTAAGAACACAGGTTTGAGTATGAGAGCATTCATTTTGTCCAAAATAATATTGAAGGCAGTTTATCCCTCCCAGCACTCACATAGGCATGACCAACATTGGGTGATGTCATTTTAGTGACCCGTATTGATAGGAAACTTGAGATGACCAGCTATGTGTATTGTAATTAAACAATCATGACATAGAACCCTTATGGGACCATAAGACACGAGCCTTAATGCTTAGGCTTCAACACATCAGCACAGAAACTGACTTGGAAAATTCTGAACATTTTCTAAATAGCAAATTACACAAAATTTGGTGAGATATTGTTATTTTAAAGTACCTCAAACACCGGGCTTCTTGGTGACCTGCGCTCAATGACTTTAGGGCTTCTTTCTTTTGGTGTCCTACTTGCTTTAGGGCTTCTGTCTTTTGGTGTCCTGCTTGCTTGATTTGAAGAAGATGCAGGGTCAATCTCTAAAGCAGTTGTCTTGAGTTGGCGTACAGCTCGAGGGGAGATCTTTTGAGGAGCTGCTGAAGAGCTGATTCTGTTACCAAATCATTGCAATGACAATCAGCTATAATATTTATCAAATTACCAATCATCAGATTTTAACAAAAACTACCTTATCTGAATGTTAAATCATAAGAGAGTTGAAAACCTCTTCATGCTAAATTATGCATTGATTCAGACTATGTAAAAGGTGAGCCAACTTTTAAATGGACTAGTAAATCAAGTCATCTCACAGCAGTACTCCCAAGTCCAAAACCTTGTTGAGAATGTTTGAACTTGGGATATACTCTTTGCCTGGAATTATTTGAAATATGAATGTGTCATGAATAGGAAGAGATTTATGATAATGAATATTCTGGGAGAATGGAATGATTGTTTAAAATAACATGTCTGTCTGATAATTTCTGGAATATCTTAGAATAATGAAGAAAATCAACAATATAATGTGAAATCGTCTGCAACATTCATACTATATGTGCAACACTTAAATGCTGTTGAATAATGCATTATTTGGTTGATTTGGGCATGTTTCAGTATTCATACTACTCCAATTGACTCAAAGTATTGCATTATGTAGCATTTAGCCAAGTATGCCTTCCAAATTAAAGCCTCATAGACAGTATGCTGAAGGCACAACCAACATAAGTCACGAAGAAAAGGAGAAAACCATCAATTCTGTTAATACAACTGAAAATCAAATTACAGTGTCAAAGGTTAAAACATCAAATAGCAAAACTGAGATTCCAAACTCAATTCTTGTCACAATGAAGGGGGTGTGGGTGTGTGGAAGCAAATAATCAGACATAAGACAAGGGGTAAAAAGGTCATGTAATTAACCATATTTCTATTAGTGAATCTGCAGGTCAACAAATTTTTGTTTGATACCAAGGGAGGAAGTAACTGTAACTAAAACTATTTCCATTTAAACTATCCCTGACTGTTAGTGGATATAGGAAGTCGTTTATCATACATGATATAAAAGAGATAAGGCAAGCCCAAATCAAAGGTGAAAAAAGTAAGTGTGACAAAAATAAAAATGAAATGGAAGACTTTGCAGTGGAAGTGAACAACAAACCACAACCAACAATTTCCAACACATTAATGGAGTAACTTGTTAACCTTACCGGAAATAGACGCTTTCAACACCGACCGACGAACAGATAATTCACAGAATCAATGGAATAGGAGACAACAATCCGTAACTCAGTATGTAATCCGGAATTCTTACGGAACTCACTACTATGAAAATCTATACTACTCATTTATTCTAGATGAACAAAAGCAACATTATAAATTCAACCAAGAGACCCACCAAACAGCCATTAAAATTGGAAGGAAACACCCGTAAAACCCGTTAAATTTACCTTGTTTTAGGAGTCTGCATCTTTTAACTTCCTTTCCAGCTAGAAAATTGAAACAAAAGTGAGGTTATGTAATCTTTGCTAATTCAATGCCCGCTGACCCACAAGTCTGCACCAATCCAGAGAAATCACAAGCTAAGAGAGAAGAAATGGGTATCCAATGTGAGTGAATGCACATGAGGAAATAAATGGCTGATAAAAGACTACTCCTCCTTATCAACAGATATACTTGTACAAGTAAAATCTACACAAACCATTCAAAAGCTATACTGCGATAGTTCCAAATTGCTTACAGAAAAACAATGCATTTATAAGTAATCTTAATCTTTGTAACATTCAATACTCCGACAAATAAGTAAGCATGCTTGATACCCATTATTGTATTCACGAGGTACATACAGCTACTGGGACAAGTTGAAATCTAGAAAATTACAGGACATACCCTACGTTCCTGTGGTAATCTTATCTTATACTATAAATTTACACCAGAATTCCACATGACAGACAAAGCTGTGTGGTGGGCCACTTTTTAAATTGGTCCCCATTCAGAGGCAATTTCCTTACTCATGAGGCTCCTCCATTTTTGCCGTGATTAAGGGCACCATTGCACGCTGTGCCGTTGAAATTTGAGAAATATATATTATATTTACATAACTATTTCTGAGGAATTAGTTGGGCCAAAATGGAGGGTGAGCCTTGGTAAGGTTGTCATTGTGGCCTATATAGGTCACGAAATCGAAACCGGAAACAGTCTCTCGCGGAGATAAGACCGCGTATATCTAACCCTGCAATGATGGGAGACTCGTGCATTGGGCTAACCCAGTACAGGCAAAACGATTTGGCTCACAGATTCGCCATTTACGACTCAGATTTTTGTCACTCAAAACACACACTGATTGCAAATTAGATCTACCGCTACCCTTAGATCAATAAAAATTAACAAATAGATTAACGGTTGATAATGAAAAATAAAGCAAATGAACAAAATAAGCAAACATTGGAGCTCAAATATCCAAAAAACAACGGCTCATACTTCCTTATCAAAAGCTCTAGAGAGAGATTACAGAGAAATGTCATATCTGTAACAGTGCTGCAGTTCAGAGACAACAAAGCGTTAGAGAGAGAGTTGATTTTACGTTGTAGAGAGAGAATATATGATTGGTTTAGAGCCTTGATGAGATTCGATTTCACTTTTTCTTCTTTTACTTTTTGTAGCCGTTCAAAAAGGCTTGAAGCTATCAAACATGGACACAGACCTAACACTGTTGTCATGACCTCGTTTAGTATAACAACAACTACGACTACTTTTTCGTAAAACAAAAATCAGATTACATCTAAGAGGAACTGGAAAAGAAAACATCATTAGCACATAAAACTCAAAAAATTAAAAATTAAAATAAAGAAACGCAAATTGTGCAAGAGGGGACCTGTATATTTGGCTCTGTTTGGTTGTCGGCGAGTTTCAGAGCATTTCCTTACTTTTCTCTCTCACCATTCCCAAGAACCAACAGAAAATGCAGGTGAAGGGATTTTCTATGCTATGGTTATTTCTTTTGTTTATGGGTATTTTAATCTTACCAAGAAGATAAAAATATGTTGGGAATAGAACTATAGAAGTAGAAATGGAATGAGATTTTTCTAAGGTATAGAAGAGAACGTACTGTAGAATGAGCTTTCTTCTTCTGTCTTTGGTTGTTTTTCTTCGTCTACTTCTGGTGAACACAGTTCCCAAAGCTAAGAGAGAGAAGGAAAGAGGAGGAGCGCATAATATAAAATTACAAAGTGGAGAGAGAAAGAGAAAGAAGAGGAGAGTACTAGTATCAGAAATTTGTCGTGTAACTAACCACCATGTTTCGAGGGACTAACTCTAAGAAAATTGAGTGATGCTTACAGGGATTTGGGTTGGAAATGTTCAAATTTGTACTAAGTATTCAACTGTTAGGTAGTCTGTCTGAGTATTTTTTTTTTTCCACTTTCTTTTTCTTTTTCTTTTCCGCACAAAATATTCTACTGTTAGGTAGCGTGTATTAGTATTTTTTTTTCACTTTCTTTTTCTTTTTCTTTTCCGCACTAAATATTCTACTGTTAGGTAGCGTGTATTAGTATTTTTTTTTCACTTTCTTTTTCTTTTTCTTTTCCTCCTATTTATACGTTTTTCTTTTATAGGTAAAATATTTTCTTTATTTTTATTTTATTAATATTTGATAAAGATTTAGGTCAAAGGGTGAGTCTATAGGGTAGGTATAGGGGTGACAATTCGTATTCGTTATGTAAATGTATTTTACTAAATAAATAAATCCAAATCTAACCCATTTAATAATCGGAACCCTCAACACTAACCCGACCTACTCGTTTAATGATTTGTTTATCAAAACTAGACATGTAATATTCAATCAAATACTAACGGGCTAGTGACCTAGCGGTATCAGCCTCTTACTTCTGAAAGAGAGATTAGGGGTTCAAATCTCAGAAGAAACAAATGTGCGTGAGTACCAACTAGGAGAAAAAATATATATATTCAATCAAATAATAAATACTACGGAAAATTTTGTCACAATTAACCCAAATATTGAAAATAAGAAGAAAAATCATAAGGTGTAGTCAAGGTTTATGTTAAAACGACTTAATTATCTATAATAATTGGGTTTAAACAGGTAACATATTACATATGTCATATTCATGATTATGACATGTTAAGTTAAACGTGTATAAACGGATTACACGTATTGAATCCCCTCAACCCTAACCTAACACGATTAAGTAAACGGGTTAATCGTGTCAATCTGTTTATGACCCAAACCCTTTTAAAGTCAACCTAAATCCGCTTATATCGTGTCGTGTTCGAGTCGTGTTGGCAATCGTGTCGTTATTTACCACCCCTATGCAGGCATGTAAAATAACTTGTCAAAAATTGATATGTAAGTTACTTTTATTAAGTTTTAATTTATGTTTTCTTCGTATATATTTTACAACAACCAAACACCAAAAAGTTAAAAAATATATATATATTATATCCAAACAAATAGAGTCAGGAAAAAATATATATTTTATATCCAAACAAATAAAGTCAGGACGGACCCATAAACATAAATGAGGGGCAATATGAATTTTTTTAATCATTTTAGGGGGGACAATAGTATAATTTTATAGGTATATATATCAAAATTCTCAAAATATTATAGTATAATACTAAAAAAAAAAAAAATCACAAGATAGGTCCATGTCTGAATAGAGCCTTCACGAAAAAAATAAAAATAAAAATAAAAATTGTTATACATTTTTTTTTTCTTTTTTTAAGAATTTCATCTTAAATTTGTTTAAGATTGAACTTTTTAAGGACATGTATAATGGCTTCATCGTAGTTGTTTTTTTTTTTTTTAAGGTAAAGTAATTTACTTACATACATTGTTTCCACTAATACCCGAACCGTGACTTCCTTTTGAAAAATAAAGGTTTAGTATCACTGGCTAGGGATGTAACTTGGGTTAGGTAACCCAAACCCAATCCGAGCCCAGCCTAATTTTTTACGGGCTTGGATAATCATTTTTATAATTAGAGTTGGATTTGGGATGAAAAATCTCAACCCGAATTTATTTAGAGTTGGCCTTAGGTTGAAGTGTTAGCAACCCGAGTCAACCCGAACCCAAATTCTAATATTATTTTCATATATATTTTTACTTTTAAATACATTATATATAATATTTAAACTATGATTAAATTTTTTATTTTCAACTTCTTTTGAAGTGCTTGCAAACCGGGCCAACCCGAACCCGAATTTAAAAGTAAAATGATGGGTTGGACTTAAATTGAATAGTTAAGGTTGAGGATATGATTAAGGTTGGACTTGGGTTTAATATTTCATATGGTGAATTGGGTTCAAGTTATACCTCAAACTTATCTAACCCGCCCGAGTTGCAACTCTACCACTGGCCCTTTGATGGCTTGATCAAAGTTAACACTAAATTAGAATGAAGGTAAGTTGTGTTTTGTTTTTTACCATATTAATTCATTCTTTTGTGAGATATTTCAAATTCACTTATTGATATGGTAAAAACCTAAGAAGCATGGACATTTCTATGAAAGAACCATACCCATGTAGGATACCGACACTCCTCGGATACATGTCTGTGTCCATAAATAAAATTAATTTTATTATTTTGGATACTTCGTCAACACTTCCCGAACACTTCATCGACACTTTCCTTACACTAATGCTTTTCTGACATTTCTAACATAAGTCTACCCAGTAATCTTAAAGATAATATAAATACTATCATGACAAAGTAATGAAATAATGGTATATGTGATATAAAAATTATTACAATAATGACATAATTTCATTTTTTATTTCATTTCAGAGCAACTCTTAGTATAGAAATTATAAATGAATTAAAGTTTTATAATACTATTATTAAATAGATGTATAATAATAAAAATTTATATTATTATGTAGTTGTGTTCACGCCGTACTTGTGTCCTATTTTTAAAAATTTTGATGTATCAATGTATTCGTGTCATATCGTATTCGTGTTCATATCCGTACAATAACAAAGCTTTAGAGAGTTATCTGTATATGTGATCTTCTCTCAATTTCGTAATAAATTAAGCATTGTACTTTAATAATATTTTTTTACTTCCAAAAATAAAATATTGATAAGAACAAAATAAGCGTGAGTGTAAAAAACTCCATAATGAGGTAAGGTGCCTTTTGATTTTTTATTAATTTATTTTTAGTGAGACATCACAAAGAAAAGTAGATGTAAAGTTTTGTGTGTTGTGTTTGGCAATATAGAATTGAAGTTTTGGAATTAGAATTGGTAAAATTAAAAAAAAAAAAATTTAATTTTCAAAATTATTTTTCTCCAGTTCCACAAATTTCAATTCTAAAATTTCAATTCCATAACTACGAAACATAACATGAGTATATACCTTTTGTATTAGAAGTAGGGTTTACTTTGGCATTTTAAACTTATTTATTGAAATTAGTCTGATAACTCATTCAACTTACCCAGTTCTTTTGAAAACTTAAAATAGTCTTCTATTTTCTAAGGGTCAGTTTGGTGCAACCGAAAAGGGTGGAAAGGGAAGGGAAGTGATGTAGGGGGATTAAAAATTTGTGTTGGTAAAAATTGTTGGAAGGAAAGGGAATGTTATGTCAAAGCTTCAATAATGTTTTTCTTATCCTCCCAAAAATGGGAGGAAATGGAAGAAAAGTGAAGGCAATGACTGATGGAGGAGTTGTGATACCAATTTTACCCTCAAGATTACATAAGTTTGCAAAACAATATACATACAAGTTAGCAGTTGCAGAGAGAGTGAGAGACGGCGGGCCGATGATTGAAGCTTGCAAACGGCGAACCCGAACTGGAACAGCGGCGATGAAAACTGAAAGATATAGGTTTTGATTTTCTGAACAATATGAAATGATATACCCATACAGGTTTTGAACTTTTGATTCTTGCAGATAGATATAGGTTTTGAACTTCTGATTCTTGTAGTGCAGAGAGAGATAGAGAGGGCAAGTTCAGAGTTGAGAACGAGAATAGAGATGGAGCCTGGAGGCGAGATTGGGGAGGCTGAAATGATTTGCCCTAAATTTTTTTTTTTTTTTCTTTTCTTGTGGCCCATCTATAGGAGACTATATATATATATATATATATATATATATATATATATATATATATATATAAAATAGAGATGGAGGCGAGATGAGACTGAAATGATTTGCCCTATTTTTATTTTTATTTTTATTTTTATTATTATTTTTCTTTCTTTCTTTCTTGTGGCCATAGGAGACTATATATATATATATATAGAGAGAGAGAGAGAGAGATGGAGGCGAGATGAGGCTGAAATGATTTGCCCTATTTTTTTTTTTTTTTTTTTATCTTTTCTTGTGGCCATAGGAGACTATATATATATATATATCTTTTAAAGTATAAAAGGGTATAATAGTCAATTTATTAAAATAATTCCCTTTCCTTTCTTTCCCTTCCTTTTCCCAAACAAGATTATTATCCTTTCCTTTCTTTTCCTTAATTAATCAACCAAACACAATACAAAATTAAAATTATCCTTCCCTTCCCTTTCCCTCATAACTAATATTATCCTTCTCCTTCAAACCCACCCTACCAAACATAGCCTAAAAGTATTGTTGTATTCCATTGGAGAAAGAAATAAAAAATCCATTAGACAAAAACACCGTCTTCAAATTTGTAAATTAAGGGTGACAATTTGTGTTTGCAGATCATAAGTATGTCGTGACGAACTAATGGTATTTTTTATTAAATAAGTAAATCCAAAATACGACATGTTTATTAATCATATCAAGAACACTCAACACTAATCCTATCTATTTATTAAACGAATTTCGCGTGTTAACCTATTTAATAACCTATTCCACAAAACGTAACATTTAATACTCAATCAAATAATAAAATACTAAAAATATATATGTTTTATTCGAGTCGTATTGCCGGGTCGTATCTTACTTTATCACCCTTAAAGTAAATATGTATATATGCAATCCTGTAGAGAGAAAAAAAAATAATAATAAAATAAAATAAAATAAAATAAAAAATAATAGCCAAAGCTTTGACAATAACCATGACTTTTCCCAAAATGATGGTTAGAGCCATGTCAATTGATGGGTACGCACCCAGCTTGTTGGGCCACCGTACTAAGCCCAAAACGTAATGGACCATTGACTTTTCCTTTTTTAAACAGCCAGAATTATGTGGTTTGATCAATATGATTGGGACATGGAGAGTTTTAAGCAAGCCCAAAATGTGTAATAGACCATTGTTCTAATATCCTGTCAGTCGCATGACATTTTTTTTATTTTTTTATTTTAACAAAAACTTTATATATTGAAAGGCAAAAATATATTACTAAATTACAATTTTTAGTGGTCGCATAACTTGAATCTAACATGAAATTATTGTGACGAAAAAGAGTTCAAATAAAATTTTAAATTTTTCTTACTTTTCGTATATATTATAGA